TGTACTAGCTAAAGGCTGCTACATGACGAAGGCGCAATGGCATGTACTTCATATGTTTTACTGATTCTCATGTCTTATTATTAGTTGAGCGTGCGCGAATGCGACGCGCGCGTATCCTCACCATTGTAGATCCCGTACCTCATGCGCTCTGCGGCTAAAAAGCCACGTTAGCTCCCGAAGGTATTGCGCCTTCGTCATGCAGCAGCCTATAAGTGTTAGCGTTGCTGTATTTGCCGCCTTGGTAGGAATATCTGAGGTTTGGACAACACTAGCCTGGCAGATTAATTGATTCGGACGCATTAAGGCAGGGTAGAATGCTGTGGTTGATGGGCGTGACAGAATAGGTTAATACACATCTAGTGACCCTAGATAGTTGACTCATTGCACTTTTATGGTACTCTAGCAGAAGAGATGTACAACAAAAGGAAGTGAAGATATTATGGGCACAGCTTACATAATGCATAAGTATGCGTGGTCCAAACAGCGCTCTAAGTTACCGATAAAGTCCTTCTACAGGATGATCACTTGCTGATGATTATATGACATGTACTTCATATTTTTACATTCTCATGTCTTTATTTTCGAACCTGTTGAAGCATAGAAAATTTGAAGATTGTGTGACATGTCTTATGTTGACTTAAGGAGTCTGAAAAATGAGTCACTGATGCTTTTCCTTTCTGTGCTCATAGCGTTCTTATTATATTGGATTCTAATTGTGCAACTTATTCATCCACAAATTTCTATCTCAGTATGGATCTTCTTGATGCTGATGTTCTTGATGTTCCCCTCTGATCGCACACATGAGAGTGTCGGTATGAGGCTTTGCCAAGTCGTAAAATCGTTTCCGCTGCGCAAATTGCACACATGAATGCCACAAAGCCTTACACCACTCAAACAAACAAGACACCGTCGCATTCTTGAATTTGCTACAGGTAAATGTTAATATTTAATAGCAGAAAAACATCAGGGGAAGGATTACTGGGAAATATCCAACGTATGCATAGCGCGATAGACGCGAATCCCACCGAATCTTACAATTAGATCAGGGGCAGCCCCACTCAGATAATCGCAGGGCAGGTGGCCATGCGATTTTCATGGGCAAGCGGGCGCCGGAAAAATTCGCTGATTTCTTGCGGTCCGCTTTTAGATATTTGAAAGATGTCGGACGAAACTCTAAACGATCATTTGGGGAACAATTACGGCATTTTCATAGATTAGTTGCAGCGCAGTGGCCGCATTCTCGCGGATTTGAGGGTCGCGCGGTCCTGTGTGAAGGAACGCACAGCCCGTAGGTACCTTCCGCTGAGAGAAAGTACCCCATTAATCATCGACAACACTTCTGTCATATAGGCTCTTACCTTTGCTCGGCGTAGCCCGAAACTGCGTATCAAGAGTCACAGCGCTCACTGAAAATTCGGCCAGCAATAGCTGAAAGAAATCATTTGACGACCGCTCGCAGAAAATTCTGTATTGCTGCCCGCTGCTAAAACACGGAAGTACCACTCGCTGAAGTTTGGCCACGTCCCAAAATCCTGCTGACCGCCTCCCCCGGTGATTGTCTGAGTATATGCTGTGTAAGAGGTAAATTGTGGTACAACGCTTATCTTGTACACACGTTCAAGGCGAATAAATCCAGTAAGGACAGGCGCCACACCAGCGCAAACGTCTGTTATTCTCACCGTACCTTAGGTTCAAGGGTAGACAACATTAGGTCGCCGAAGGGGGGGGGGGGGGTCTCGCGAGGACATCTGCGACAAATACGCGTCTTCACCATGGTTGTCCATGCTAGCTATCCGCGTGGAGCCTGTCGGCGACCTGATGTCCTCCACCCTAGGTTCGGATCAGACTTGTGTTCGCGACGTACGCTGAAGTTCGCAGCCCGCATACTGTCAATGCTTGCGTGTATGGGCTGATCGTATGTGTCATCGGCTCACACGCATCGTACGCCTTAAACTCGGGCGCAAGCCTTGCACTGAGGCAATAATGACAGATGAGTGAGGTGAATAAGCAGAGCGTAACGAACATCTAACTTGTGGTATTGTAGATAAACAGTAAAGCTATAAACTTTTTCTTCAAAGCTGATTGAGAGAATAATGAAAGGTGCCTTGTCGCAAACTTCTCCATTTACATGAACATTCAACATCAACGCATAAGTGTTTATTTGTCAGTTCTTGTAGTAGAAGAAAAACTAGAAATTGGAGCAAAAAAGAAAACAGGTTGCACGAAGTCAAAGCGGAGTCAAAGCGGATTTAAGTTTTTCTAGTATCGTCCTCCACATAGCGGGTTGAAAATGAAATAGTAGTACGACAATCCTGTAACAATGATTATCTTTTTGAACTACCATGGACGCTTGACAAACAAAGCTTAGAAATTCATTGCAAATCATCTACCAATGCATTAGACCTTTTGTATTTCATATGTCAGTCTAGGTCTCTTGTAGTCTGTCCACCGATAGTTTTGAGTAAAAGACCTATAAGACATACCCGTCAAAAACATGCAGAAGCTGCCAGACGAACGTGCTTGTCAGAAATACTAACCAGCGATCAGCAAATAGTGGGCTTATGAAGTGGTAGCTGATGAAAGCTACTAGAGATAGTCCATTTTGACAGAGTGCCTGTAAGGGAGTAATGTGTTTAACAATTACCTAATCATATGGCTATTTCACAGGTCCGGGAACGCGCTGTATCGCTAGCACGACGCTTTGTCGCATGTGATTTGCTTTGACGCGCAGCAGAGTCCACAGTATACTTAGGAAATGCGAAAATTTTTTTCGAATATTCAAAAATCGAATAATATCCGAAAATCGAAATTTTCGAATATTCGGCTATCGAATACTATTCAAAAACAGGAAATTTCGAGTACTCGACTACCGAATATTATTCGAAAATCGAATATTCCGGATGATGTCGAATAATATTCGAATATCGAATATCATTTGTTATTCGAATTTTGTATTCGGTTTTCGAATATTATTCGATATCATTCGATTTTCGAATGCAGTTTAATCAATGTCAATGAAATGGCTGCCTATAAAAAACTAAAACATCTAACATTTAGTTGTTATTTGAGAATACATGCTTTTTTATGTTACAATCTACGACAAAAACGGCTAGTGGTGACGTTAAGAGACTTGAGAACCGAAAAAGCGTACTCCTATAATGGTTGCGAAGATTTTAGATCTTCAAAAATGATATATACCTTTCACTGAGAGTTGTAGACTGACAGGGGTCCCAAAAATGTGTGGATTTGTGAGCTGACTACAACTTACACTTACAGTATGGAGCGATTCATCGGTGTTTCTATCATAGGATGCTCAAACAAGGTAATCAAAAAGGCCAAAAATCTTACATTAGACGAGACACTCAAAAAAATTGCACTCAGCCTTAATGCGTTTTCCACACAACGTTTTTCAGAACGGGATTGCACATTTGAGAAGCTTCAGAAATTATGCATAGTAAAATTAGCACGTCAAACCACTCCTACACAGATTTTTCAATCCTCTTTTGAAAAAATTCTTTTAGATGTCTTATTTCGTGGTTGCTCTACATGCCTTACGTTCCTACCGATGCCGCGTCAAGAAAAGCTCGTTGAATCGCTTTCTGATTTATACAGGGTGCGGCAAAAGTCTGGGAGCTTAGTACTTTTTCGTACAAAACGAGAAGGGAAGTACCGAGAAACGAGAAATTTGGCGCACACATAATTCGAACCATTGCAGATACAACCCAGTTCTTGAATTGCAAAACTGCCTCTTTTGTCTTCCACGCAGCCCTACAAAATTTTGGCAAGTCCACCTGTCATGGCACGCAGGTAGTCGTAATGGAATTCGCCCCATGCCTTCGCAATAACTGCTTTTTATACCTTGGGCAAATGCGCAACGTGATAGAGCAAACTTTTGCCTACAACATACTTCTAAAACAATTTTCTGCATTTTCAATTAGAAGCATGTGTACGTCGCATACTGGAATTTTGGCTACAATTGTGCGAATAAAAACTTAAAAATATCGCTTAAAAAGTATGAAAAGTGTTCCCATAACCGAATTTCAATAGATTCTAATTTAGAAGACGTATGCAAGAAATACAGCCTTAGTCCCAGTGCCTGATGAGCATTCTACAGCTTTTAAATTTGTTCTGAAGACGGATTTCCACTGGCACGTAGGTAACATTCGCAAACTTTTGTTTTCCGTTCATGCAAGAACAGCTCCTGGCAAAAGCAAAACTAGGATACAATAGCGCAAAGCCTCTTCTATGTTGTGTGTATCGGAGGTTTGTAATATTTACAGCATTTCTAGTTACAGCAAAAGTTGTAAATACCAAAAATTCTGGTTTTTTCGCTTTGCAAAAGTAGTAGTTTGGTAATTTCCATTCTTACAAAAACATATGGCAGCCATTTCCAACCAAATAAAGTGTTTCCTGTAGAGGATGATCGCAGCATCATGTGGCATGAAATTGGAATCAAAACCATCAATATCTTTGTAATTGCAGTACTGCAAAGTTAGGCTCCCTGACTTTTGCCGCACCCTGTATCTAAGCTGCAGCCATAGGTTGGCGAAAGACTCGTGAGAGGGTATTAGCGATCAAACAGCGTGTAGTTGCTTTTGGCACATCCCGCGTATGATATCGATCCGAATATGCGATACTCATCGAACTTTCGTATACGGTGGACATAATGATCGAGATGACCTCGAATATTCGACTAACAAATAATATTCGAAAATGAAAATTTTCGTTTGTTCGACTGTCGAATATCATTCGAACCACAGATTTTCGAATATTCGAATCGAATCATTCACATTCGATTGATTTACTCGAATGACCGAATAATTATTCAATTCGGTCCAAAGTGTAGTCCACAGGCGTCACACCTCGCCGCCATAACTACTGCGGAGCGGGATCTCATAAAAGAGGCCTTTAGAATAACATAGTTATAATACACAAGCACTTCATGGTAGATGAGAACACGGTAAATTATAAATGACGCTAAATTTTTCAATTAGAACACTTCACCTGTTTGAAAAATTTGATCTCCATGCGACTTTTCTTTTCTGGGCCTCACTCATGAACATGTTTGCGTTGTTGGAAGAAAACACCTTAAATAGATAGTATTGTAGACCAAAAGTAGCAAGTGGCTCTATGTACCTTGTTGGATTTCCTAAATTTCACTACAGCAACAACGTCCAACGTAAATGTGCTGATCATGATAATCATGCCGCACTTTTCAACATAAATACAAGTTTTTCCCCAATGCGATCCAATGATTATCCACCTCCACATGTTGCAATCGTAGTGTATATGACAGTAAGTTCCTAGAAATGCCAGCGACTGAATTGTCAATTTTGCGATATGCTTACCCCAAAAATAAGGAGAGGCGTGGCAAATTGCAAGACACCAGACGACAAGAACCAAAACAAAAGAGTTTCGCCTTGTAAGCAACTTGGCCGCTTGAATTGGTACAGCAATTGCTATCAGGCGATTTATTGATATACCCAGGCGGCAGTAAAGAGTTGCATACCAAAATACAATGATTAGCTGCCCCATGATTGTGTTTATTTGATCGTTAGCAGCTTCCTGTCTTAAATAGTGATTGTGACACATTCTCTTAAATGTGAGCTAGGCATACCTAAATGTTAGTGGTGCAGCCCAAATTAGGAATATGAGCAATACTCCCAAACCAGAAGAGGAGTGGGAAAAACATAATATGCAGAAGGAATTACGTCGCATAGGTTTAAAAAGAAGAGAGACAGTGGCTAAAGCAATTATAACCACTCCAGCTGTGCTAATCTAAAAAGCATGCGCCAAGTTTTCAATGCTAGTGAGTTTTTACAAACTCATTTTGGTTACAGATCTACTGTAAGTATGTAAAAAACGTGGTGAGCCTTTTTCACCGCGCTGAACTGCAAGGCTTCCTTGCAGTGGCGGACCAAGGAGGGAGCGGAGGAGCGCGGGATCTCGAAATTCTCAAAAGTTATAGGCTGCTGCGTGACGAAGGTGCAATAACTTTGGGAGCGAACGCGGCTTTATTAACCGCAGAGCGTCTGAGGCGCAGGACTTACAACGGTGAAAATAGCGCGCGCCGCGTTCGCGCCCGCTCAACCAATACCGCTTCTGCGCCTTTGTCATGCAGTAGCCTTTACCTACAGGTTTTAAATGTGCAATAACTTGTTTATGTTAGGTGGGTGCAAAAGTTTTGTCATTTTTTCAAATGACCTGCAAACCTCGTACAATAAAGATAAACCAATACTTCAAACGGTATCCGATGCAAAACTTCTTCCTCTTTCTAGCGCTGTATCTCCTAGTGTGACTCGCCAAGGAATTGCTGAGATAATCGCTGTAAGCACAGCCTTCGTTTTCACCTTGTCCAACTTTCACTAAAATTTTTATTCGGGATTTTGGGGAAGTTGTAATAGCCAGTAGAGAGGACAAACCTTTTGCCAACTAAAGATATATTAGGTGGGTGCAAAAGTTCTTGCGCCGGATATTCAGAAAATCATAACTTCCTTCCTTCCCAACAATTTTTTCTCGGAATTGCTTTTGTATGAAAAGCAATTCCGAGAAAAAATTCTTCATAGCGGTGCCTTTGCCATGAATTAGCGTTGGTAAGTTGTTCGAGAGTTAAAAGCAATTGAAGGAAATTAGTCAAGATCGACATTTTTCGAGCTGGATCGCGAATTCTGGAAGTATTTTTGTTTGATGGAGAAAATGTTGCACATTGCAGCGGCACCTTCTTCATGATTTAAAACGAAGAAGATTGTGAGGTAGAAGCAAATAAAGAGAAATTCCTCACTTTTGCAGTTTTTGAGCACGATCAAAAAAGCTTGAAAACTTATAGAATAGGCGAAAAAGTCATAAAAATGGGTTTTGTGACCTCTACTTTCCAGGAGTGAAAATCGTGCCAATCGGGAGCAATTTTCATTTTCGTGAAAAACGCAAACTCGAAAATCCGAATAAATCACGAAAATGAAAATTGCTCCCGATTGGCACGATTTTTGCTCAGCTAGAAAGGGAAGGTCACAGAACCCATGTTTATGACTTTTTCGCCTTTTCTATGACGTTTTCAAGCTTTTTTGAGCATGCTCAAAACTTGCAAAAGTGGAGAAATTCTCTGTATTTGCTTCTAACTCTCGATCTACTTCGTTTTAAATCATGAAAAAGGTGCCGCTGCAATGTGCAAAATTTTCTCCATCAAACAATACTTCCAGGATTTTTCGTGATCCAGCCCGAAAAGTGTCGATCTTGACTAATTTCCTTCAATTGCTTTTAACTCTCGAACTTACCAATGCTAATTCATGGCAAAGGCACTATAAAGAAAAAGGTTTCCTCTTTCATACAGAAACAATTCCGAGAAAAAATGTTGGGAAGAAAGGAAAAACGCAAGAACTTGCACCCACCTAATATTTTTTCTTATTTTTTAGCTACTCTTTTACAATTTTGCTAAATAACTTTCCAAAAGTCTCGAGCATAACCTGCTATTGCAAAAAACACTGCTAAATAACTACGTTTCAGCACTCGATTATTACTATTACTTACTTCAAAAAGTAAATGAGCGATTTTCGCGTTAAAATATGAAGATTCAGAAACTGTACATCAGTGCACGCTCGTGAAATTTAGAAGTGCTGCGATTTCCCTCAAATTTCGCGCGTTATACCAAGAAAAGACAACTGTTAGGGAGGAGAAATAGTTGCATCGAATGGTACCTGAACTATTTACCGTTTCAAACTTCTACAAGGATAGATTAGGCCTTATATAAAATTCGGTTTCCTTGAAAAATATACATTGTAGAAATTCCAAAAGACAATTTAAAGAGCTAATTATATCAATTGCCAAAAGGTTTGTCCTGTCTGCTGGCTATCACAATTTCCCCGAAAGTCCTGAATAAAAGTTATGAAAATTAGAGAAAGTTGGACATGGTGAGAACGAAGAGTTGTGATTTCCAGCAATCATCTCAGCACTCTCTTGGCGAGTCACACTGGGAGATAAAGGGCTGGAAAGAGGAAGAAATTCTGCATCGGAGACAGCTTGAAATGTTAGTTTATCTTTACTGTACGTGATTTGGGTCATTTCAAAAAACTGACAAAACTTTTCACCGATCTAATACTTGTAGATAAGTAAAATAATTTTTGAATTTTCCAAAAATCCATAATTAGCCTCGTGAAAATTATCGGGGGGGGGGGGGCGACAGCGCGCCCACTTTTTCTATAATTTTGAGGTCATGGGCTTGGAAGAAGTTCGTGAAGCATCCTAGGAATTTTTCGGACTGCATGGCCCATGCCACGCACCTTATCGAGAACTATTTTTGTCCCTCCCCCCCCCCCCCCTCCTACAGAAATCCTGGGACCGCCACTACTTTCTTGTTCAGCATAATGCTCGCAAATCATAAACATGGACACATCAATCAAGCAACTGTAGCAACGATTTGAAACTCTTATATATAAAACTGAATGTCTGTTTGTCTGTTTGTCTCTATGCATGTATGTCTGTACGTATGTGAATAGAAAATTCCATTTCTGAACCGATCCAGACCAAACTTGGCACACATACACTTCAGGGCCGGGTGGGTGTCATAGTCTACTTTTCGTTCTCGATCAATATCGATTTTATCGATTTTTATCGATAATTGGAGCAGAGTTCACCTACGGAAGTGGGAGTTGGCACAGGGGGGTAATCGAGCATGCTGATTACGAGTACAATATTAGTTTTTAGAATTATCCATTACTTTTATCGATTTCATCGATTTTTTGCAAACTTTGAGCTACAGGGCTGAGAGTTGGCACAGGGGAGTAATCGAGCATGCTGATTACTAGAACAGCAGGAGTAGTGAATTGGCATGTAGGCGTGGGCATGGAGAAAGGTTGACTGGGACAGGAATGATTGCTTTATCATAGTGTTTTGATAGGACTGGGCGGAGCCGAGTAAGCCAGCTAGTAAATCTAATGAAGACTTTGAGCACCTCGGACTTTCACAAAATTTCAGCGTTCAAAAGATAAGCAAGTTTTTGAGCTGAATGGCAACGGTAGCCCCTAGGAACCTTTCTTTTACGAGCTGAGCATCATTACTTCATTTATTAGGGTGTTGCATAATTTTTTTTAGCGTTTTTACTACAACCATCGTCTTTTCGTAACTTTCCTTCAATTGATGTGCCTTGAGTAATCGTTTGACAGAGCAAAGCGAGCTCTACAAAATGGTTATCAAGAGTCTGAACAAATCGTATTTCACGTGAAGTTTTAAGCTGAAATCTGATAGCTGTCACAAACGAATTTTTCCGTCAGAAATCATATCTCCGTCCCAAAAAATGTTTAAAATCCCTGGGTGCGTAGCAAGTGGTACCCAGGCAGCCGATTGCTGCCGCAGCCAGCCGCCAGAGCTGCCAGCAAAGCCGCTGCGGATGGTACAGTAACTACGCTCGTCGTGTAGAGCTCTTGCCGAAAGCTTTTTTCGCGCTTCGTCGCTCTGAGGTGCGAAATTACCTCAGGAAAGCCTGATGTTCGTATCTATATTATTTTGAACGCCAGAAAATTCGTTCTTTGGGAAACATGCAAATAAACAAAGGTAAACAGGAGAGAGACTTTTCAAAGGAATATGATGGCAAATTCACATCACTTCGAAAACTTAAAGGCAGCAGAAGCTGAAAAGTTCAGAATTTTCTTAAATTCCTAATTTTGTTCTCGCTTTTACGTCGAAGAACGGAAGGGGACAATTACAGGAAAATGCCTTGGATATAAAGGTAAGAAACTTCTGTTAAAATGATTATTTCATACATAGTGTTGTTAAGCGAGCTAAATAAGGCCAGTTAGGTCAATCAAGTTGAGTAGGTCAATGATAAGAGACGAAAATATGCCACATCTGCTGGTATGAAAGGGGATACCACCAAGAAGCATGCACTACTTCAATCTACACAGTTCACTTCTCCAGGTATTTTGAGAAAATAAAAAAGTAGTAATGAAAAAAATTCGAAATCCAAAACTCATTGCAAATAATGAAAGCTCAAATTAAAGAACCACCTCTAATAATCCTTCAACAAAGCCGCATTTCGAATTCTGAAGTGTTCGGGGAAAACTGAATTTGATTTTCAAGAATTCTTCATTGGAAAATCAAGGATCCTTAAAACTACAGCGTCAATTGATATTTACTGTACTTTGATTTCAATACTTGTAACAGAAGAACGTTCGAATTCCTTTTTCGTTTGAATTCGTTTGAATTTTCCGGTGTGATTTTGTATTCGAGCTGTTTGGTTCTCAATGAAATATGGCCTTCTCTGCTGTTCAAAATGATATAGATATTGTGTTTTTTTACCGCTATATCCATGACATTTTTCTGTAATTGTTCTCGTCCATTCTTCGACATAAAAGAGAGAAAAAAATCTCTGGGAGTTTGAGAATTCCTAATTTTTCATCTTCTGCTTCCTTCGAGTCTTTGAAGTGATTTGATTTTGTGATCACTTTCTTCTAGAAAAACCCTCCTCTATTTACCTTTGTTTATTTGCATGTTTGTCAAATAACATGAAGTTTTTGCTGTTTAAAATGATATAGATATCGAGGATATCACGCTTCTCTGAGGCTGACTTCGCACCTCAGAGCGACTAGGTGCGAGAAAACCTTTCGGCAAGAGTTTTAGACGACGAGCGTAATTACTGTACCATCTGCAGCGACTTTGCGGCAGCTCTGGCGGCTGGCTGCGGAAGCAGTCGGCTGCCCGGGTACCACTTGCACGCCTCCCAAAATCCCTTTATCCTAGCATATGCTTGA